CTACAAAAAGCTGGATAAGCAAACACATGTTAGTGGAATACTTACTTCTTAGCCTCCATTGCTTATACACTGAAGTATTTCCGAACCAATTCAACTTAGGTTCCTTCAAGAAAACAGTGAACCAAATTTTAAAAGGCCGGCCACGTACTTGCGAGCCTTGTGGCAATGTGAGTGCTCATTTGATAATTATATTAAATGTTATATTAGTGTGTTATAAATATATGAATTTTTATATTATACTAGCTGACCGGGCAAACGTCGTTTTGCCATGTATATCATTTATAATAAAAAATAGGGGTTGATCGTAGAGGGGTGAAAGGGGTTGTATGTATTTTTTAAAGTTGTATCATAAAAACAGAAAAAAATATCTAAAAATAAAAAATATATATTTAGGGGTGGACTACCCTTAACATTTAGGGGGATGAAAAATAGATGTTGTCCGATTCTCAGACATACCTAATATGCACACAAAATTTCATGAAAATCGGTCGAGCCGTTTCGGAGGAGTTTAACCACAAACACCGCGACACGAGAATTTTATATATTAGATTATAAGCTGAATAATCCTATTGTAAAAACTGCTTGGTTTTGGACTAATAAAAAGTTGAACCAATACGACTTAGAGTTATTATAATTAGGGTAATTATAAGAGCGTCCTAATTTTTAAAACGTCTTTAAACTTTCTGGCAGTTAGAGTTGCCCCCTTTTCAATAAAAAATATCCTTATGTACTTATAAAATACTACTTGTGGTCACTGGTCGGACTTGAATTTGTGTATGCGGTGATGTTAGTTACTTCGACTATTTATTTGCGTATTGTTCCCACAAGAATGTAAGTGCGTGCTCCTATTTCACCATGACTCCTGCTGATAGAGGACAAATCTTTGTGTTTAATTCATTTCATTATAATTAAATAACTTTTAATTACTTGAGATGTCATGTGGAACATGGTGTAATGATTGCAGCTCCTTACAAACATTGTGTAACACAAAAAAAAAAAGGGTGCGTGTACTTATGTACGCGCGTAAGAAGTTATACTTCTTTGGCATTATTAAAAATAGTTTGGCTTTGTTCCACCTCCAGTTTTTGATGTTTCACAGCGATAAGATGACAACTCTTTTTTTGTATTCAATTTAGTGCACTTACACTGATTCATCAATTGTTTTTTTGTCTCTTGTCCTTATATTTGCTAGAAAAAAATTACATGTTTTGATTAAACAATGTGGTAATTTTTTTAATCAAAACATTACTCGATAATAATAATACAAACTGATAGTTAACCTCAATTGTAATGAAGCACTTAGGAAGGTTGATGAGCACAGTTTTTTCACAAATATTAATTAGTATTGGTTTAAATATTCAATTTAAATCACTTCTGATTATATATAATTCAAAAAGCATTGCTAAATTTCTTTGAAAAAATAATTAAAACTCCTTTATTTGTTTAAAAGGTAAATGACAAATGTCATTATGGTCATTCAAAATTCTTGGCATACGAACTTCACGCATATTCTATTTCTTTTTACTTGTAGATTGTCTTATTCCTATCTCGCTCGCGCACGCTATAATCACACTCCTAATTTTGTGTCACGGTGCGCGCGCATCGTAAAATTTCACTCTCATAAATTTTTCATAACGCGCCTAAAGAAGTATAACTTCAAAAACTTGGCGATTAAAAAGAGTAGCGCAGAGTTTATTGCCAGTATTTCTCTTCCGTTCTACGCCCTTGAGAACTGTAAATGTAAAATTAGAAGCATTTAATATGTATTTCTTTTTTGACTTTCATACGTGTGCATTGTGTTACCTATATGAATAAATAATTTTGAGTTGATTTGATTCAATATTATCTTGTATAATTTAAGTCTACATAATATAACTGAGATACGACCTCCAAATGTTTAAAAAGCGACTGCAAAGGCCGGCAACGCACCCACTAAAAATGGGTGTCTATGGGCTGCGAAGACTGCCCTTTTTGGTCGTCCCGCAAGCTCGTTTGCCCCCCTATTATATAAATAAATATAAATAAAAAATAACTAACGTATTAATCTGTAGATTGTGAGGAGAGAAAAAGCTGACTGAGATTCTTAAGTATTACTATTTTTATTGCATTTGTCTAGACGATAACCTTCGATAGCTATAACAATTCCTTCCACTTGTATGTATCTTGTAGAACCATATAAAAATATGTTTTTTTTCTTAAATAATAAAGCCCGTTTATTACTAATATAGAGTTTAGTTAATTATTTCTTGTTACTCGACATCCTAATTTCAATTAAAAACAAATATGTATGTTTTCTTTATTAATGTTTTCATTAAGGGTACTTGTTTCGAGATTTTTTTTCCATAATTTAAACGACTCTTAAATTCGTAAAGTATAAACGTCATCTAAAATGTCTGCAGTAAACTGCAAAGCTTATTCGGAAATCAAATCAAACGTCGACTTCGTAGCGCTAAATGTAGCATCGTAGCGTGACTTCATTTTTAACTAGACCATTTCAAAATGTTGTATTTTCATAGTTTAAAATTATGGTTAAAATAATGTTAGCTGAAACAATTCTTCCGCATTACTGTAACTAAGACTTACGTACAAAAATGCCTATTTTTCTAGCAAAGCACCCAAAAGTCTAGTATGACGCATATTACTATATATTTTTATCGCTATCATCGAACACAAATCTGTTATGAACCTAGGTACAATATTTTTTTGTATATTATTAATTTCGTTTACCTAAATATAACAATAAAATATACAGTATTTACAATTTTCTTAAACTACATAATAATAATAAAAATATTTATTAATAAAAAGCAAATTAAAACAAATTTAAAAAGCAAGCATTTCTTCGCTGTATTGCGATACTTATTCGTTGAGCACCAGCACTGGGGTCACCGGTACTATGTACCAGGCGCCAACTTAAATCTTAAATTAGCGCCTATGCACTTGAACCCCACGGTAAATTATAAAATTGGAATTATAGCTATATAATTATATTTCTCAGTAGTTTGTAAAAAAAACTTCGTGAGATGAAAACAAATATGAAATTATAATAGATATTATATCTTATTGCATGACCTTTTCATTATGACACACACGCATTCAACCAAAACTTTTCATGAATTGGTTTTATTATTTTTGCTTTAAATAAGTGAATTTTCTTATTAAAGCTTACGCTACTCTCGTGGAAGCTTTAAAATCTTACAACACACACGTATGATCTTTTTGTGGTATATTCAAATATTAGATTTTTTAGGACGTTAATTCATATTGTAGTAGTATTTTTAACTGTATATCTGTGGTATGAAATTTTACACAAGGCAGAAATATTTCTACGAATATTTCATCGATAATTTATAGGACAACCACACCTAACTATAGGTTCTGCGTTCCATAACAAATAGGTAATCAAGGCGCTCGTAAATCATAAAAATGAACCTACACGTCAAATTACCTGATACAAGCTTTACCCAAGCATATAACTCTTAATCGTCAAAGAATTAATTTTGTATGTTTGAATATTTTCTACGCAGTAATTACACACTGAGTGAACCTATTTGGAAATGCCTTGATGTTAAATAAAGGACGGGCCTACCCTCAGTATAAACATTCTAATGATTTAAAACCTTAATTCACATTACATTCCTCGACAAAATGAAAATGTTTTCACAAATTACTCTCGTAACGTGCCAAAGGAATGCTTCATTTAACTTCTTATATTTGGGGCAAAGTTCGTTTAGTCAAGAATTTTAAATGTGATATTAAAATGTAAGGGAACTCTTATCTACATACTTTGAGGCAACGAAATAGAAAGTATTTTTTCGAGACAATTATTTGTTTTATAAAACTCCAGTGGCGCTACAACCTCAATTTCTGTATCTGTTTTGTGATAATTATTTTCTTAATAGTAAGTTGTTGATTATCCGCGCGTACCTTGACAAACAGCGTCCTTTTTTGTAATACATTCCGGTTTGCTCACAATTTTTTCCTTCACCGAACAAGCGAATGGTGAAGGCGCACTTAGAAAGACGAATCCATTAGTACACAGCCGTGATTTGAACGCACGACGGTCAGGGTTGAAAGGCCTATGCTAAAGCTACTAGGCTAACACTGCTCTGTATATTGTATTAGCACTTTATTAAAGCTACAGGTACGGTAGGCACTACTATCTACTACACATAACTGAGCTCATCTGCTGACCCATGAAGCATGAAAAACTTTTCTATAACAAATTTTCTTCACCGAATTTTTGCTTAGAATAGAACCCTATCTAACCTACGGTTTGCCGCACTAAATCGTATCGCAGAAATTCGCATCGCATCGCATCGCAGTTTTGTGTGGGAGCCCTAAGCTATAAAGAAGAAAATGTTAAAACAGCCCTTTCCAACGTCAGTTAAAAATAAGCTTATTGCCTCCAATACTAATTCGTTTCTTTCCAGTCGATACTAATGACCTTTCATTAATAACTTTCGTTCGCTACGTGCTAAAGTGTACGTGAAATGACTTACCCCATTATTCATAAACATAGGTACTATAAGCCTCAGCTATCGAATGTTTTGTCCTTATCGCTTTCGCTTTGAATCAAAACTTGACAATGCATTAACTATTCAAGGCTTACAGCAGGTTTAAATAGACCGTTAAAAATTTAGAATGGATTTTAATACTACATATTAATATATAGAATGTGGCCATATTTCCCTTGGGGTGATAAAACTTTGCATTGCATTTCTACATCCATTTCATTGATATTTTTTCTTTAATGACTAAGTGATGCGTCTTTTGTACTAGTGGCAGTTACCTCATGATCCTTTCGTTCGCTACATTTAAAATTATTATAAATTATAAAATATTCATTCATGGACAGAACAGTACAGTGTACTATTATTGGGTTTGAAATACACACGGTAAAAGTTTCAGCACCTTAATTGATTTTCATTTCATGAAATATTTTTTTATTATATACTATTACTAAGGCATCGAATGAATAAAGATTTTTTTTGTTACAGATGCAACAATCACTGCTTCCACTATTATTATTAACCATCATAGCCGTATGTTCAACAAATGAACTACCCTTTTCGACTCGACTTGAACTTGAAAAGATTTTCGAAGAGCAAGACAACGATAACACTGATAAGTTAGAAAATATTGAAGCAATAATGTTCAAACAACAATCAACCAAACCTATTAAATCCAAAATATACGAAGAAGAAAAGGATCTGGATAATCTAAAGGAATACAACGATTACCGTAAAGACCTTGACCCGCGATATTCCGAAAGCATAGACCAGTTTCGTACGCGCAAAAATGAAGGACGTCACAGACCGAAGGAAATCATAAAAAGAGATACTACAAGAGATGCTATTAAAAAGATTAAATTGATCGAAGATTCATTAAAAAATTATGATGAGGTCGTGACAATTAGCCCGTTGCTAATTCTCAAAATTCGCTTATCCTATTTGACGGATAATATAGAGAACATGAAGCCAACAATGTACCATTACTCTATCCCAGTACCCTTAGATATCAAGACACAAACGAAAGAAGGCGAATTAAACAAAATTCTTCAAGATGAAATAAGTTATTTAAACGATGTTAAGAGTGACGAGGATGATGATGATGAGATTGAAGAAGGTTTGTTTTTTTTTCATTTCAAAACATAAGCCAGTAAATACTAGTGTTAATTTAGATAAGAAATTTATTGATGATTATTTTAAAAAATGTAAGTAATGTGTGTGTAAATAAATTCATAAACATTACATTCAAAAATACCGCGCGATAAAAGTATAGTTTTTACGTTCACACAGTGCCGCAAGATGGCACACGAGTGTACCATACCTAAACAACGATCAGTTGTAAATAAACATATTAATTTGAATGGTTTCATTTTCAATTAAAAATTAAAACTACAGATTGTGAATAATATAATGCAATCGGTCTCCTAAATACCAAAGCAAAGTTTTTCTTGTCATACTTTTACTTTTACTCATCTAATTGACCTAAAATATTTAAATTTTATGCTATAAATTCAGTCTAATTTTGTGTTAAACTGTGTTATTTTTTTGAGTTATTATTACCTACCTTTTTTAACACGACTATTGAGCGTATATGCATATGCATGTGGGCACTAAATTGAAAATTAAACGTTTAAATTAATTTCAGAGTCAAAATCCAACAAAAATAAAAAAGTTGTGAAAAAGAGAATCTTTTCACTATGGAGCAGATTGCAAGGGCTTCACAGGGGCCACGAATTGCACCACCGACGGCATCTTCACGCCTTTTACGGTCTTCCTGATGATGGTGGTGGTGGTGGTGGTGATAGTACTCTCACAGCTGAAACTCGAGCAACCTTCCTGCGACCACCCGGTTCACCTTTGAGATGGGGCTGAGTCCCCAGACCAAGAAAACCTCATAACTATAAGAAAGTGTCCAATCAGTTCACGAAGTAAGCATGCAAAGCTGAAAAGTACAATAATTTTGATCAACGTAGTTGCGTAGGCCGTAGTGAATACATATTTTGAGATTTTATTAATTCGTATTCAAATTGTAAACTTTGATACAAGTAGATTTTCTTTTCGATTTTTAAATTTGATCATAATCAAATGTTTTCATATGTTTGGGATTCCTGCTTGCTCAACTTATTTAAATTGCGCAGTAAAAAAGTAATAATATTTGATTTTATTACCCCAAATTAACGATCAAGAATAGTAGGCAAACATTAAGCCCGATGACGCCGAAAAAATCAGAAGTTATAGGTATCTTACATAATATCTTGAACATTAATAAATCAGTTAATAATCATGCATGAAATAAATTAAAACCTATGTGTAATTTAAGTACATTCCTAAGTAAAAACTATGTATCAGATCTAGAAAAGAAATAATAATATTATATAGTTAATAATTAGAGATCTGTATGTTACTATAACAATGATAAATATAATGTAAATAAAAAGCGGCATGTGAACATTTGGATTTTCATTTTAAAACTTTTAGCTTTAATATATGCTTATAAACAACAAAAGAGTCTTTATAAAAATTATATGGTTTTTACTCATAAACGTAGGTAGGTACTTTGATAATATTAAATTCCTTTTGGAGTTTTCTACTTATTGCTGTTATTAAAATAAGTGAAACGACAAAATATTTATATAATTAGAGTTTATACTCGCAGTATGTTAATAAATTCTGCCCGATGTAATAGCGATTATATAAATACATGTAGTATTTTTCCCCTACGTTTTTATCTGTAGCTTCTGTATGTTTTCTAATGAGACAATTGTCAGTTGTCAATCCCGTATGTCATTGAGTGTAGACAGTACCCTTTCGTTAGCTTGTTATCTCAGCTGATAAATATGGTAAACAATAATAATAATTATGATTTGAATCCAAAAGTCTGTCAAGGTAAATGCTTGGAATTTTGATGAGTTTAATTTACTCAAAATTTTGATTAAAATAACATGGCTAACACGGTAAGTACGAAATATAACCTCTTATTTCAAAACTATTTAACAAAAGGTTAACTTGTGTTGTTCGGCAACATTTTGATTTAAATAAAGAACACAAACCAGCGAACCAGTTTTTCTTGTTTTATTATGATTACTTATTTTATACTACTTACACATTAATATTTTTTTCACAATAAAAACTTAAAAAAAAACATCTGTGGTTGCTTTTAAACATAAAATCTGTACAAATGTTATATAGACTATTTTGTATGGATACTGGTTGTCGTCTTGTACATGGCGAGTGCGAGCTGCGATGAATCTGAAGAAAATGACATTTGAAGAACGGTCAATAGACATCGTGCGAGAAAAGGCACAACTAACCGAGCAGTTCCGAGCGATTAATCCATCCCAAAAAGTTCCTGCTCTATTTGTTGGTAAGAAAATAACTTTTGACTTTGTTAATAGATTTATTCGATTTCCGCACAAATCCAAAGACTGAGAAAAAAAATTTTATTAGAATAAAGCATACGTACACAAAACATACAAACATTTTTGACTTATGGTATTTTTTGAACGAGAACTTTAACGGCTACATATTATATTTGAACCTATATAAAATATGAATCAGCCACATCAATCTAAAATGGAATATTCCATTTAAATACAAATTCATTTCGATATTAAAAACGTCCCTCAAATGTGATATGGGAACAATGTCAGGCATAGTCATAAAGGTCTATTCCCTAAGGTGAATAACTTCCTTATGAAACCGAATTATATTCCGTCTGGGTGAAAATGAATTTCGGATCCTTTTAAAATTCCCACATTACATCAATACGTTCGTGCGATAAAAGCTTATACCAATATTCGTACGTTTCACAATTCCAGATTCCCGTCATGATCACATTTTGGTAAAGCTTGGATTAAAGAGGTTTAGTGAATATTGAAAAAGTTTTTATCCGAAAAAGTCGAATAAATTTCACGACATATTTCAATTAAAAAAAATCAGTGGCGCTACAACCTCGTTAGGTCTTGGCCTTAGATTTCTGAATCTGTTTCATGATAAATTTTAAATCTAATAGGCAAGTAGGTGATCAGCGTCCAGTGCCTGACACACGCCGTCGACTTTTTGGGTCTAAGACATGTCGGTTTCCTCACGATGTTTTCCTTCACCGTTCGAGCAAATGTTAATTGCGTACATAGAAAGAAAGTCCATTGGTGCACAGCCGGGGATCGAACCTACGACTCAGGTATGAGAGTCGCACGCTGAAGCCACTAGGCCAACACTGCTCTCAAAATATTTCAATACAAAATGTAATTAAAAAACATTAAATAAAGGCTACTTATAAATGTCATAGTCATACAGAAATATGTTCATCTGAGATGTTTACCGCCTCAATGAGGACACAATATTTATCTTCTGTGTTTGAAGTATATTATAACATGCTTGACTTCCACCTGCAAACGTGCACATGGGGCGAATATTTGCATCTATTTTTCAATACATAATATACTAAATAAGCCTTCTAATACCAAGTCTGAATCATTATTGTCCGCCTTTTACGCCGTGTGTCTCGTAATAAGTAATTATGAAAATACGTAGTCAATTATAATTTATAATTAGTACTGCAGATGTCATCACTTGTAGTGTTCGTCACGGGCTCTTCACTCTCGCGAGTCCACTTATTTCGCACTCACGGTCCTAATTAACGCGTATATTTGCTTATTGAATTATATTGCATAATTATGAAGATATACGGCCTATATAAGAGCCTATTTAGGCTATTGTTACCTCTCACGTATTTATATTGGTATATTTTTATAAAGGTTACAACTTTAGATTCTACGGTTTCGGCGAATTATAATGAAAACAAAATTATATATTTGATATAAGACTTAAACTTCAATCAGGGCTTAATAAATCACATATTTAGAAGTTCTTAAAGAAGATAACAACTACTTTAAACAGTAATAAATTCCACCTAAAATTCATCGAATCACTAAAAGTCTTTAGCCCACCAGTAGCTGGATTAAAAATATATATATTAGCGTTATTTACTTTCCCCCGTTCATAAAAAATAGTCACTCTGAACACAGTTTTAATTAATCTCTCTCTCTCAGTCTCTATTCATCACAGCTAAAACACAATTGAACTGAAAGAGACGAAAGAGTACTACGGGTAGGTTAAAATCAACCCGTCCTGTGTGTAACAGATAAAAAAAATGGTTAGCTGTTTTTGTCGAAATAGAGCAGTAGTAAAAATCACAATAAATTTACATTATCTTGAAGTAACGTTCAATAACACGAGGCGTTTAATAAGTGGAGTAAAAGGCGAGATAAATTGACACGTATTTAGGTCGAGTCTATTGACCGAAGCACTATACGAATGTATATGTAAATATTCAGTAGTATATTAGCCTGAGTGCGAATAATAAATTGTCTAGTCTATCTCATTTAACTCAGATCTAGACTATAAACAATGCCTTAGAATGACATCAATTAAAACTATTCATGGAGGAGCTGGTTTGTTTAGTTTCTTAGAAATATATAGACAAAGAGCATTTGTACATAATGCCTATACATTTACGCCAAAAATAAACAACTGCAAAAGCAAAACCTATAAACTCTCTTAATTACAATGACAGTCACATTATTCATCTTAACAATTCTTTCCTACGTTATATTTTTTTTGTTTCGCATTGAAACTTTTTATAAGTATAACATTTAAATACTGCTTTTAAGAATGTGTTGCTTTTTATCAGTTCTTGGATCTACTCATTCCCAACAATATCTAAGTTGCTTCCTCTTTGGCAAAACCGAATAATTTATTATAATTTTATATATAAGTTTTTTTGAGCTTAAGTTAAATTAAGTTATGACCGAATAAATTTTCTTGTTTTCTTATTTCTTTCTCTCTTCTTTTTTTTTCCTTCTTTCTAAATGCAAACGACACTAAGGATTCTCTCAAGAAAACTTACATTTGGCATTTAAAGATAACGTTATACTACTAATTATTTAAAAAAATTACAAGCTTTTTGTTAATACTATCATAGATGGTGCTACAATCGTGGAGTCGATGGCAATTATTGACTATCTTGATGACACACGACCCAATCCACCCTTGAAACCCAGTACACCATTACAAAGAGCCCGCATGCAAGAAATCTGTGAGGTAATTTTTAGAACAATATATTTTTTATCGCGCGGTGCGGTTTTATACTCTATAGGCAAATTCCCAGAATGTATGTGGATGACTTCGCTTCGCGGCATATTGGGAGAAACAATATTCGAGATTTACACCTGCATCTGTTACAAAAAGTACGGTAGACGTACAGTATTATTTAATATTCTAAGACTATAAAAAATCACTTATTCTTCGTAGACATCAGACCCATAATGTCTAAATAAAGATCCCGATATCCCGGACTACATGCGAGGACGTTGCATGGATTGTTATCCTAGAAAGGTCTCACATATGTAAGTCTTATGTATTTCATAATTGTTTGGTTGTCTCCGTTTTAACATGTGAGATGGTTAAGCCTAAATAAAATAAAATGTATCATTTATTGTTTATTATATCTGTTTATACATCTGAATTAATTTTAATTCTCTTACATTTTTTATTGCCGGAGTCCTACTCTAGTTTTCTCCAGATTTCCATCCAGCCGATATTTAGAAAAATACCTTTTTGGGTCTCACTTTTTTCTTCTTTGCTTGCTTTCTGAAAAGTCATTTTTAAAGTAAAGACATCTTGAAACTTTCTAATTCACGAACACGTTACATGTAGTGCGCCTAATTTATTGGTATGTGACAGCCAACTCATTTGAAATAGCTATTAATTGTAACAAATCATACTTTTGAATAGATCATGGCCTTCAAGCGGTCAATGATCCAATGTTGTAAATTGTGTATTGCCTTTTGATCAAATTACAAAAAATCGGAATTTATGCATCAATTAACACGTTCGTTGCATTACGAGATCTATCAGATCTCTTGCAGGACTTTTGTATTGTGCGTTGAACATAATCGTGTTTTTTCACTCCTTGCGGGAGGATGTAACTTGTAAAGTTCTTTAAGGATGAGCAGGACAAATATACATATTTGCTTCCTACTTAAAGCTGAATTCAAGGACTTTAAAAATAAATTAGAGATGGATTAGGTCCCTAACGCACAGTACTGTAATTGTTTTAATTCCTTGCGTTAGGAGATATGTCGGTACTCGTGAAATCGTACGCCTCGTAGACGCAAGAGATGGAGGATGGGATTTTTAGTGTTGTCCTAGAATCGACATTCGGGAAGTCGCGGGCACGTTTTGGAAATAACAGTCGCGTATATACCAGCGTGTTGATTATTTTTGATAAACAATGAGTGATTAAGTTTAAAAGAAAAAAGTGTAAAAATCTATTTTATTGGTGAGGTTTCTAACAAAAAATCAACGCCGGATTATACTGCTGCATCGTCCAGTAAAATATTTGTTTTGGAAAATTTGCCCCCCATTGACTAATAATGACAGTGATTCTGATTATGAAATATTTAACGATAAACCTTTTTCGTTGGAGCACACGCAGTTAAACAGCACTGACGCTTCTAAAAAAACTAAACGAATTGTTACCATTTGCGCGTAATGTGCAAGCAATAAATGTGCTTACCATGTTTTAATGAAAAACACTGCATAATTAATAAAACTTTTAGAATCGATAACTGAGATATTATTTTATTCCCATCACTACTTACTACACATATTGAACTATCTTCGGGTGCGGTACGAGATACAATTGATATCTAGTTTTTTTTTGGTATTTGTAGTTTATTCAAATGTCGTAACTGCGTGCGAACCTAGCGAAATATAAAGCAATTAGCTATCTTTCACCTACAAAAAATTCAAAATATATGTCATTGCTTTTTTGGAAGATATAAATTATTTTCAAAAGTGTATTTTTAGGAGACTGATTAGGTCTCAAACGCACCAGAGGATAGGCTTGTTACGAGATCTTTTAGGTCTCCAACGCACAAGCTGAAAGTTCTTTAAAAATGATGGCGCAGTGAACGTGTTAAGGATGCATTTTTAACGCTTCAGTTTTTCGAGTTAAACAGGAATATATGTCGGAGCAATGGTGCTACTGTCCGCTGTCATTGTCATTATATCACAGAGATCATAGATTAACAACATCAAAGCCAAATTACTTCAAAACCGTTAATACTAGTGGTTAATTGGATTTGCCAATATTGCTAGTGCTACTGTTATAAACATTCCAATCTACATGAACTTCACTCAGGAAACTGGGCGAAACTTAATACATTTTTGACGCGTTCTCAAACGCAATTTCAAAGTTTGTATGACTTATATTACCCTGTCAATTCGGCATATCAATATTTTTGTAGAGAACTTATTTAACTTCGAATACGTCTTGTTATTGGAAGCTTATTATAATAGCTTTAGAAACCCGATTTCATAATTTCGTCAGATGCGTTTTACATTCAAACACTTACGGTTACATATTTCAGATGCGCTATCCGCAACAATCTCGTTTTCGTAGGCACTAAGACCTATCTCTTAGGCCTTACAAGAAACAGAAATCGGTTTTCGTATTTATAAAATCTCAAAGTTTTAGCATCATTTATGCCCTCACAGTGTGTTCATTAATTAAACCACACAATCATACAATATTAACACTTAACTTTAACACAATATGTGTAGAAAGAAAGAGTTTATACAATCGTAACAATTTAATAGATACTAAAAATTGTAATGTAATTAAGAATTAAAATGTGTAATCGTTAATTTAAATAACATTTAAATTCATCTGTTTAAGATCATAAATTGATCATTATTAGCACATAAATCAATTTAATGCCGCAATTTTCAGAACGCTGAAAGTCTGCCATTTTTATTACTTTAATATAGTTACGACATCACAAAGACCTGAAAACAGTTCCTTTATATTTAATTTACAATAGCTTATCATCCGAACAGACTGCTGTGTCCGGTATCCAGCCTCTCCAAAACATTGGATTAAAACGCTATTTCGAGACCGAAGACAAGTACACGGTATTCACAAAACACTGGACTGAGCGTGGGCTTCAAAGCCTTGAGGAACTTTTGAAAAATTCCGCTGGGGCTTATAGTGTTGGGGACCAAATGACTAAGGCTGATCTTTGCTTGGTCCCACAAGTGTATAATGCAGTTACAAGGTGAGTTTAAGATATACGGTGTTCTTCATTGGCCTCAAAGTTTCATCATGTTTATTTTTTGTCCTATCTAAGGACAAATTCAATAGCTATGTCAAACTGATATATTAATGAACAAAACTTGATTTTAATAATGCTAGACCCTTGCTTTTTCAACATATATTTTACATTTAATCTTAAAATAAACATCGTAATCGAATTTTCTTTATTTACTTATAAATTTTTTGACAAATTAGTTTTCGACTTTTTTTCCATTATCATATCATTAAAACGTATTTTGTTAACTGTTTTGTTTACACTAAAATTTCATGAGAAAAATATATAATTTATTTTTTATTCGAGTGCTTAAAAATTTAATGTTGTAATTTTTCGTTACCTCTTTCGAATGTACCCGGAATATATAAAGGAATTCTAAATGTTGTTTGGGAGGTTAACGTAACTTTTGTTTCAGGCACAAATTGGATCTTGGCAAATATCCGATACTCTCCAAATTGTATGAAAAACTATTAAAAGAAGAATGTTTCAGGAAAACGCACCCAATGATAGTTAGGGGCCAGAAATATACGCTACCAACTTTGTAATAATGTCATAAATGTTTGTTATTTATAAGCAATATTTTTGTTTATTTTTAAATATGTTGTACTGTTAAAAGTGAATTATATAATTTGTGTTAGTGTTCGTTCTTTAATTTTTTTTTATTTGAAAGAAATTAAAATTAGAAATGGAAGAAAAAATTGTGTCAGATGTCTTACTTAAGCTCATACTGTAGGGTAAGATTCTCTTAATTTGTGAAACTTATTATTATTTAAAGGGTTATTCGACAATAAACAAACTTTAACGTTATTTACTAATGTTAGAACCGAATCTGTCATATATATAATTTATTTTTTTAATATAAAATAATAATAGGCTAATTATACTACTCGGTTATATATGTGTGCGGTATATTATTGAAAATTACTTGTAGGAATTAAACTCCTAAATAATCTTCTTTTAGTTTTTAATTTTGTTAAATTTATTTTTGTTAATAAAAACTCGATCCTATTGGGCGTTTTCCATTTATATTTAAATAAACGTAAATCTGTATTTTTTATAATGTGTATACGTATGAACAAAAATAGTTTTTAATAATTCTTGACCCTATTTTTGAAGTTGTACTTCTTTAGGCGCGTTATGAAAAATTGATGAGAGTGAAATTTTACGATGCGCGCGCACCTGTGACACAAAATTGGGAGTGTGATATAGCGTGCGCGAGCGAGATGGGAATAAGACAATCTACAAGTAATAAGAAATAGAATATGCGTGAAGCTAACTTCACGCATATTCTATTTCTTAGCTTAGCAGCTTAACAAGAATTTTGAATGACCATGACATCTGACAATGACATTTACCTTTTAAACAAATAATTAATAAAGGAGTTTTAATTATTGTTGCAAATTAAAAGATTATATACCTAGTTATTTTCATTATACAAGTGCGAATTTTATATGTGCGTCTGAATTATAATCAGAAGTAATTTAAATTGAATATTTAAATCAATACTAATTAATATTATTCTACGACCCTATATATCAATAATTGAGAACAAAGATTTAAGCATTCGACTAATAAGGAGAAAATGAAGGCTTGGAGCGATACCTGCATCTCATAAATGACCACATTATTTAATCAAAACATGTAATTTTTCAGATTTCATCTAGCAAATATAAGGACAAGAGACAAAAAACAATTGATGAATCAGTGGAAGTGCACTAAATTGAATACAAAAAAAAGAGTTGTCATCTTATCGCCGTGAAACATCAAAAACTGGAGGTGGAACAAAGCCACCATCACAATGGACATGGCAGAGATGATACCGCAACGGTTTGAAGTAGATTTCAATGAATTTGATTGTGATGGTGTCGAGGTAGGAATGTTAATTATAAATATGATGTATGGTGATGTTCAAGGTTCAACCTCTCAAGCATAGGCACATACTTTATTCCCCTACAGGGTAGTTAGAGATATTGTAATACCTCAAAACATCCATGTTGCACTTGTAGTACCAAAACTCTGTCCAGCCAGAAGTGAGCCTATTCCCACTTATAATGGACAGTGGGTATAATACACCTTAACACCTGAGTGCGAACCACTCACCATGATACTTAAATTAATAGATGTTATTTATATATTTCAGGATATTACAAATAAAATCATTTTGGAAACAATTGATATCCCAAAATCAAATAAAGCCAACAATGACAAGGTAATATATCAGTTTTGACATAACTTGAATACTAGAAAAGCCAGACAAAGGTGTGCACAACAGTGACAACATAACTTAACAATTTCATTATTTTGTAGGATTAAAGAAAGGTTAAAGAAAATCATGTCGAACTGAACAACAAGAATCCCCTAACAACTCCAAAGAAACCTACAAGGAAGACACCGGTATTATATTTAAATTATCTCTATCTCTAAATAGAATAAAAGAAAGTTGCTATCCAGGTCTGTAGCATGTGCTACAAATTATATTATTAACACATTTATATAATTATATTAATATAAATGTGTTAAAAAATTTATAATATGAATTATAAAAAATTTTAAGTTTTGCATGGGCAGAGCTTAGATTAATATTCTCTTATTTGTTGCAGAAAGCAAGTAGTAGTTTTAGTTTTGGAGAAGCCTCGTAGATGCACAACCAAGTAATGATTAATTTAAAATTACAAACCGAAATTCTGATGAAGACATAGTCACTTAAAAACAAATAGTATAATAAAATAAAAATGTTTTAAAGATAAATAGTGTTTTATTTGTTTAAATAACTTAATTGTTAAAACAAACTAAATTAAGAACTATCAAAGTTAAAAGTTTTCATCAATAAATATGGCTCTCACTGCTGCTCCACGCAGTGTATTTTGAGATGAGGGTACTGTTGGTAGTGAGGGCAGGGTCTCTTCATCATCATCAAAGATAGGTTCCTCTTTTAAATCAATTGCTATATTGTGCAATACTGCCAAAGCTACAACATACATCTTAGTGTTTGGAAGAGATGTTCTAAATACATATATTATTATAACTTAATAGAATTTATGTTACACTTAATGTAATAGAATAATAATAAATATTTATTTATTTAATTTTTCAAATGTAAACTGAACTTTAATGACTCCTTTTCCAGTCTTTGATTATTTAATTGTAATTAATTATTTGAATGCAATCAAAAACTATTTTAATAATGCCAAAGAAGTATAACTTCTTACGCGCGTACAAAAGTACACGCACCCTTTTTTTAACATATATTTTACATTCAATCTTAAAACAAACATCGACATGGAATTTTCTTTATTTACTTTTTTTAGAGAAATTAGTTTTCAAGAAATTTTTCGTTATTATATAATTAAAACATATTTTTTACTGTTTTCTCAACAGTAAAATATCAAGTGAAAAATATATAGTTTTAAGAATTCAATATTATACACAAAAAGTATTCGTAATATTTTTAATATTCTTCTCTTTCATTTACCAAAATGGGATAACATTGATTAAAAACGTTAAAAATAACCCAATTTCACGAGCTTTCATTAATTATTTAAGTAAACAATAAGTAATTGTTTATCTGTTTTTCCAAGTTCTCCATCGAAAACGCCCAAAAGCATAAATACTATTATTGTAACCCAAACAATGTTTTATAGGTAAGTTTATACGATCGCTTTAACGATCAAACTTTGCTAGTAAACTCGGTATTAACGCCGCTTATTCAAACAATACAATTGAAGATGACCTACATTTCAATTCGCATAAGAGAAGTTAATACAATCTAGAAGTATTGCTGTGTATTATAATATATGTACTAATACTAATAGACTCATACTACTCTTAATACTGCTTTATTTTGTAATAAATTATCCCAGTAATTGCGAAAAGAAAGGAAGGCGTGTACGAAAACATCATCAACATAACAAGTAATAATAGTGTAACATTTACCCCTTTATTCGTAAAATGTAAATCAGGCTAATTGTACCGTTTTCACTTAAAAAAAGAAAGAAAGTAATTTCACAGAAAGAGACAAAAGAAGATTTTGTGGGAGTTGCGACTTAGCGGAAAGTATGAAGCCAGTCCTCCTGGCTATGTTAATAAGTCGATATTTACTATACAAACTCTTATTTAATATTGCAAAGTGCGATTGGGTGTCTTTTTCTAGCTTCCTCCATAACTGATAGTTACAAAATAGGTAACAGATTAATAAGTAGGGTTTTTACCGTTAACGATTTAGGAGTATTTTTTGTACCTGGTCTTACTTTTCGCGAACACATTCGTTCACTGACTGTTCTAATGAATTCTCGGACACCGCAACGATGACGCTTTATGCTGCACTAATTAGGAGCGTAACGCATTCCATGGTATAATTGCCTTTTGAACGAAATAATGCTAGAATACTAAAACGGTTCGTATGGTAACTTTAATAAATAAAAATAAATCAGTGGCACTACAACCATTTTGGTCTGGGCCTCAGATTTCATTAATCTAATAGGCAAGTAGGTGATCAGAATCCAGTGCCTGACACGCCGTCGACTTTTTGGGTCTGAACTCTGAAGGCAAAGGAAAGGCAAGCCTGTTTCCTCACGATGTTTTCCTTCACCATTCGAGCGAATGATAATTGCGCACATAGAAAGTCCATTGATCTACAGGTACAGTCTCACAGGGGATCGAACCTGCGACCTCAGGGATGAGAGTCGCACGCTGAAGCTACTAGGCCAACACTTATGGTAATTTTACCGGCGTAAATATTATTATTACTTCTTGTACCCATCAGCGTTTTTGCTATGCACGCTGGTATGAGTAAAAAGGACTTATTTATTAATAACATAAATAAGTCCTTATATAATTATACCAGTTAAATGACATAAGAGTCTAAGAATAAAAAGTAAATGGTTTTTTGACATACGAGGCTATCATTCTACAGCGACAATATATTTGTGACAGGATTGGGAAGACTGAGAGATGAATGTAATTTATATTTCTTTTTAAGTAGAAATAAAATGATTTGTTAATAGTTTAAGGTAGTGTGTAATTTAGTCTATATATTATAATTATTCTGTGGCATCTATGCTGTAAATGAATAAATAAATAAAAACGTAAAAATGTTCACAATACGCGTGCATGCACGGCCTGAGGGACAATTTTATAAAAAATAGCCAGCAAATCTATTTAAGTCGCTACATCCTAAAGCTGCTAATTCCAACAAAAACTGTAACGTTACGACGTTGCTATTCCATAACCCACCATAGTCTCAAATATAATGTTTTGCCTTATCACTCTCGTCAAAATACCTAAGCAGTATGACAAAAACATTCTCATTAAATAGTTTTTAGTCATCTAGCTAATTCAGCTAATAGGTATAGTAATTAAAAATATATTGTTTTTTAACGCCTTTAAATACGGGTTAATAATGTTCTGGGTTCTGAGGTACCACAACAATAACCCAAGACGAGAATTTTGTTTCTTTAAGGCCTTGAAATATGTTTTTGACAAGAAAAAATTTACAAATAACAGAAAATTCAAATATTATAACCTCCTTGAAATATTCCTACAAACG